AAATAAATCTGAGTCTCGTTCGTTCGTCCGACTAGGAGAGTTGGTACCACATTGTTAGAACCTGACGTATTCAAGAGGCAGTATTCAACAAATTCCCAGCAACTTCAGCCTTCTCGGGTAAGCGTGATAGCGCGGGCCGTTGATATTCCTTTTTACTCTTCGTTGTGGTGCATCTAATGCCTCTAGGTCGCGCTTAAACCATGGTTGCCAAAGTTGCATAGAGTATTCAATGTGTGACCGCACGTAGAAATTGTGCATCATGGAAAACATTGATGGGTCAAATCTCCCGAATGCCCTTTGCAGCATGCCTACGTGCTGGTTGCCTCTTTCCGCAGCTACCTCAGCCTGTTTTGAACAGTTGAAGTCACTGTACGAGCACAACAAAGTCACCTTCTTCGAAGCTAGTCTGCAATCCCTATGTCCCAAGCAAATATGTACAGTCATGTCTATGGCGTCATTGCACAACGCGACATTTGTCTTCGTTGTATGGTAGGGCGTTTTGAACTGACCAGTTCGACATCGTGTTAAGATTGCACTGGAACCGTTCGGGGTCGTCCGGTCCTCTGATCATTTGCCATAGGTTGATATCATCAGAGAAAAAGAGGAAATCGGAAACAAATGATCGCGCCAAATCGCTAATGAACACTAAGAATGGACAAGGTTCAAGCAGCGAGCCTTGGGGTACACCACACTCCACATCAATTGCACCGGACAGAGATTCCCAGACTCTCATCTCCAACCGACGTTCGTGTAGAAAATTGTTAATCCAACTCAGGATTGGCTCGCCAAGGCCGTAGTTCCGAAGCTTCTGAAGAAGAATTCGTTAGTCTAAACGATAAAACGCTTTTGAGAAGTCCAGGCAGGTGACATCCCCGACTGCTCCATCATCAACGGCTTCAGTCCAGGTATTACGTGCAATTAATAGGTTAGTAGTACGTGAACGCTTTTGACTGAAGCCATGTTGCTCTGGGGCTATTAAGTTGTGGCTTTCCAGATATGAATTAGCGCTTCTGCGATGACTGATTCCATAACTTCGGATAGTACAGGAAACAATGCTATTGGATTTCAGTTGGTAAGGTCAGGGCGGATACCTCCTTTATGTATAGGAGTGATGACCCGTCGCTTCCATAAGGTGGAATATGGTTTTCCTTTGGAAAGAGCCAGTTGTACTGCTAGACACCTAGCTACCGCCCGCAGAACCTACGGTCGAATGTTGTCGACTCCAGGAGCACTGTGGATACGCAAGGATAAAAAATTCTTCATCACAGTTTCGCGATGAAGTGATGTATAAACCCGATGTTGATTAATAGAAACGAGGGGGGTATGTGGGCGGATATCTGCTGGAAAGTTTGGGAGTAATGAAGTTATGGGAGATCTGCTGCCTCCATTGATGACCGCGTACATCCAGCGGCCGTGACTAGTGCTGGAATCCCGCGCACCACCTTTCGAAGACCGTTAACGTGCCTGTACAGAAGTTTGTGATGCGTGCAGAATTGCTTCATTAACTCTTGCTGATGCGTGACCTTGTCCTCCCGGATCAGTTTCACTCAGAACTTCCGATGTGCTACGTATGCAGTCCAGGTTTCGGCATTCGGGCAGTCTTTGTGAGCTCGCCATGCCAAATCCCTCAGGGACATACATTTACGTGTCCTGCACCTCAGAAATGACTTATAGTCGTTTTTATATTGGGAGGACTTCTGTTCTGATGTATACGCTACCAGAGTGCTAAACTTTCTTGTGAACGTTTCCCACGCAACGTCTGGGGGGTATTCGGTTAAGAAAGTCCGAGCTGTATTTTTAGCAAGCGTTGATAACACATTATAGTGTGTGACAGTATGCACTTTATGATCCTACTTTTCAGGATATTCCGAATAGCATATATAGTCAAAGAGTACAGTAACATGGTTACTGCGACCCAGTGGTATGCTTGTAACTATCCCGTCGACCATGAGTTCTTCGTTAATGAGCACAAGATCCAGTGTGGACGGCTTGTTAGCAGTTCAAAATCTGGTGGGTGGGGTTACGTGAATCTACAGAGGGTGGCTAGCAATAAGCTCGGGCAAACAGGCTTTAAACTACACACCATCGGCTGTTGGTATTTCTATGTAGTGCATGTTAAGATCTGCAAAGGTAAGAGTGTGGGTGCAGGACTTGTTCAAAACAAACTAAAAGACGTGGTTCAGCTTGGAGTCCATTTCCGATGTAGAGTTTGGTGGGCGGTAAATCACAGCTACTAGACATGTGTCTTTGTTCGCAAACATAACGACAACAAAACGAATCAGAAGCTCGGATTTTCGGGTGATCGATAACTTCACATCGAAGTTTTGTATTATCATATAGAATCATACCACTCTTTCCAGTTCTATCGTTCCGAAGCAGCGACATCCCAGATAAACTGATCTCAGAATCGCTTATCTCAAGGTTTATACAGGTCTCTGTACTCATGACCAGGTCCTGCGGTTGTGAGGCATGGAGTTCTCTAAGTTCAGCCAACTTACTTAGAAGACCTTTGGTGTTTGTGTACGTACAGGATAGTATTTTTGTTAGCAGTGCGATGATGGATGTCAACTTTGTTTCTTTTTCAGCCGACCGTTATGTGGCCGACCTTTAATCGTATTTTGGTTTATGAATTTCAGTCAAGTTGCACGGCATCGTCGAGCGTTTCTGAACAGAGGTTTCATTCCTGCTGCGCTCTGCCCTGTTGTGTGCCGTGGGGGGCTGTTGTGTAGATCTCTCCGCAGGACTGTGCAGATGAAGACTTTACAGCGTTTGCAAGTTCTATGGAATTGCTAATGACTCGTGGCTGTGCGTCTGCTGCCTTTAGTTGATTGGCAACCTGGTTCGTGAGTTTGACCAGTTATCCAACAGAACTTTGCGTCATTCTCCGGAGTGTACTACTAGTTCCATTTGTCTTGCACCGCAACCCTTGTAGTTAGGTGGTGACGGAACTCTTGCCAAGGATTTGGAAATAACATGGTCTAGTGGGAGTGCTTCGCGGATGTAGCACCACTGTTCTCGGTCATGTGTTTGCGTATGGTGATCAGAAGAATTCAGAAGCTCGGGAACATCATGAACAAATATGCTTTTCTTGCTATCACTATTAGGAATGCCGCGTTGTTCACTTACTTCGTTTGGGCGACCTTTCCTAGGGAGATCGGGTAGTCTGCGCACTGCGCTCAGTGAGTTGCGAAGACGAACTGCTGAGAGCAGGACAGCCTCTGTCACAACTGCTGAGTTTAGTGTTACTCGAAGAATTCGAGGTTCACCGGCATGCACTGAGGAGATCGGGTGACGCGCTAGTCGTCTCAGCATAGGACGCTCAACCTGAATACCAACAGCATCACAGAGGAACTCCACTGATTGCGATCGTCTACCGACTTGCCTTTTATTGTGCCAGATTTGGACTCGGGCACATTGGTGCAGACGTGAGTTAACACAGCGTGGTTTTGTCTAGCGAGTGTCGGCTTTAAAGTTTTGCTAGTGATTTGGGCTGTTTAGAAGGCACCACTGCAGTTGACGGTGAAAGCTGCGTTGCTCCACATGTGTTCGGTACAGAAGATGAATCTACGTGTGTCGCTCTCAGCGTGTTGGTCGAGGCAGTCGATGCGTACGTTACCTGCTTAGTATATGCACCAGATTGCCTCCGCCTTTGAGCTGTCGGTGTCCTGGCTGTATCTCCAGGTAAAGTGTCCATGGTTAGAGGAGTGGAAGCAGGCATGTTGGAGGCTTGTCCGCTTATGGGACTGAGATGACCCGGTGGGTTTAGTGTTACCATACCAGATTAAAAACATAAATGGTGTCGGGGCCATTAACGTACAAACTCGGCGATTTCTCAAGCGCGTATCTATTTGATATCAGATTAGGCAGGAGGGATTCCTTCATCAAGAATACCTTAATGCCTCGAATGACAGTGAAGACTCTTCGGTTACCTCTCAATGGATCATGGGTCAGTGTGGTCGCGAAATTCTGTTGCAATACTGCAGTTATCTCTGTCTGTTCGTAGCTGACTTCAGGTGCACTACCCTGTTAACAATAAGTCCATGTGTTAGTGCTTTAAACTGGTTACACTTGCCATGTACGCTGGACGTATCAAAAATGGGATTTAGGCTCCAGGTTTAACTCGTGAGCAAACAAACTTGGATTCTTTCTGGGTGGGAATTCTAGGCATAGAAGCAGTGCATTTTGTTGTTGGCGAAGCAGTCGTTCCAAAGGACATATGTTGAGCCACTGATCCACGGAACGACATCATGTCATGCGCTGTTTTCTGACATAAACACTTACGTTTGTCTCTCAAGTGCAACCAAGACTCGTTGGTGCAAGCCATCATACGATGAAAAAACTCATAGTGAGATTCGGACACAATGAAGACTTAGCAACATACGAAGTAAAACATGTACGGCTTTTCTTGTATTCATCAAACATCCACCATTAATAGTGAAAATAATAGAGGAACTGTTCACCTTGTTCGTGCATTGGAAACGAAGCTATCAAGGTGAGCGAACCAGCAGTGTGGCTGGCAAAACTGCTTTGCCAAATTTCCTGTGGCCACGCAAGTTAGTCGAAATGCTCCCTATTATCGGGCTGTGGAGTAGTAAAGATTGCGTTTCTACCTTGCGTTCGACAGGTGCGGACGTTTAGCATGAGATGCAAATTTGGGTTGTTTCAATGCAAACCATGTGCCATCACATGTCACACAAACCTTAACGGTGATGAAGGTTTCGATTACTAATGATTTTATTTGGTTCAACGTAATTAGATTACAACCTGCATAAGTCACGGTTTTGCTTACCAGGGCTATTATCTCATTGCATCAGGATTCGCTTAATATAAGACACCTTTTTCTCGTGTTTTTGTCCGAGGTTATTGCCGCGTTAGTATCATCTTTCTGTGGTTCAATCAGTCGACTCCACAGCTAGAGGAGTTAGTCCTACAAGCCGAACACAGCTCCAGTTGTGATAGTAGGACCAGTTGGTTCATTGTGGTTAAATTGACGCAGTTACCTTTAAATCACGAGACATTTTTGTAAATTTGCGGAACACATTATTAGCCAAAGTTTCCATGCCGGCGGTTTCCAGCTCACAAAATCGTCCGACTTTCCACGTTTCCCAATTCTTCTCCCATTCCAGATTTATGCTCCAAATCAGGTCGAGATATTCCAGATCCTGCAGTTAGGGAACGGAGGAGAGATTCATGAGTGAAATTACTCTGACACAGAAATGATTGTGCAACCGTTAAAAGCGGTGTGTTCTACAGAGATATGACCGTGTTAAAACAACTCCGCGTTGGAACAACCTTGCACCTTGAAGTTACCAGTTCAAGGGTGCTAATCAGTCAGCTACTCAAGAATAACGAGAAACTAAGCGATGTTGTCCTGAACGCGCACGGCGGTAGAGTGCACGTCTGTCAGGTAGATTGCGCACATGGTTACCCAACATGATCCAGGAGTGATGTAATGTGATTCCGATGAAAGGCAGCGGGATAATTATTCACACGATTGAACAGTGATTGTGTTCAATTTGGACGGCCTAACGAAATCACATAGTTGAGAAAATAACAGGGTAGTTTTGAGAGGCTCAAGTAATAAGGGTGCGCAACGCGGTTGTTCAACACTGTGTGGCGTAACTGCGGCTCTTTGTACACCACACTGGCAGTGCTAACTACTTGAGATCCGAAGTTTGCTGTACACGTGGGAGCACTACTCCGTACCACTTGTAGCTGCAAACTGAGTCGACAAATTAGAGATGTGGTACAGCTAAGTAAACAAGATACGCGATGCATACTAGTGTGGAACCGGCCAGTTCAATAGGCATGAATTTTATTGGACTTAACTATCCACCTGACTTCGTTGCTGGCCACTCTACTACGCTTGCCAGTGGTGCGTTCAACCGTTGAATAGGAATAATTGGTGATGCCTTCCACGTCAGCACGTCCTCCACTGCGCTCTATGCCAGTTGTGACAAGTCCGTAAAACAAATAGGCACCGATTGTCTATGGCTCAGTGAGGTGATCAAACATGGTAGCCGGTGGGCTGTGATGCACCGGATGAAAGGCCACCAGCCATAGCGAACAAACCAGCATAATTTGACAAGGTATACTCTCGCGTATGCAGGGATTGTTAACAAAGACTAGTGATCATGGCGATAGCTGCCAAGCACTCTGTGCCGAGTTCCACTCCCATCTCGGCTATCACTACCTCGTGAGTCCAAACCAGGGCGAAGCCGTCCATCGTGGAGTGTAGGGATGGGAGAGAGCCACACCGAAAGGCGTCACTTCGGTGACGGTCCAGGTGATCGGATTGGCATAGGTTGACTTCAAAGTCAACCGATGTCACCATTGAGATTGCCTGTTACAATCCAAGACACACGGCGGGTGCTCCGAAACCCAAAAATCAAAATCGTTGGTACTTCATCATATGCAATTGTGCAGATGTGATGCTTCTGTTAAACTTAAAGACATTGTGCAAGGCCTCTGGATCCACAAGTAGCATGTACTTCGACCATCAAGTAAAACTAACTTGTAATCCCACTTAGTACCTCCGAATCATTTACGGATTGCTTGTTGAACCTTCTACCATGCATGTTGAAGTGTTAAGTACTCAGAGACAAGTGGTGATGAAAATTAGCTTGTTGGTCGTGAACACAACTCCCGATCACTACAACGATATTCACCTGACGACTATGAGAGGCTTTGAACCAGCTGCAACGGCAATTTATCTTGTTACAAGACCACAGGATGAGGGCACACCGTTTACGCAAATTTGCATCTGAGCTTGGTCCGCACACCACACCGGTGAATATAGCAAACGCTGCAAGTATGGACAGGTTTGAGTGTGGCACATGTAGGCGTGCGGGGGTGAACTCACCGTAGGGTAACCAAGTGACGGAGAACGGCGTTCAGGTGATGTATCTACTGGAGGCATTTACGATAGGCGGGGGTTATATGCTACCATCTCAGACACTGCGGCAACTCCGAAGGACTTGGAGAGATATAGTCACACTGTCACATACGAGGAAGTGCTGATAAGTTCCTGGCTTTGCTTGCTTCCAGACAAAATAGAAACGAGTGTATGGGTACATGAGACGACAATACGTTAGTATCTAACTGTGTAAATCTCAGATGTTTGTGATTATAACAACTTTTTCAGGTAGAAGCTAGGATGGTAGGGGCAGAAGCAAGTTTCACGTCATCTGAGCTACGGGCCATCGTGAGGTTTTTGTTACTGAAGTAAAAGTCCGCGAAGGCAATTCTCAATAAGATCTTACGGTGAAGTGTCCTTTCTACAGCACTGCCAAAACCTGGATATCTCGTTTCAATACTGTTCCTTTTAAGATTCGTCATGAGCTATGCAGTGGGTGTCTCCAAATTTCAACTGACCCGCCTACCTGCGATGCCGTCCATGAACTGATCATGGTACACCGGCGAATAACCACTGGAAACATTGCACAGCTACTGGACATCTCATGAGAGCGTGTTGGGCTTGATATCTCCTCTACGATCCTGCACATGCTTTCAGCAAACTGGGTGCCGAAATGTCTGGCCAGTGATCAGAAACAGAAATCAGTTGAATCATCCGAAAACAAATTGTCCAAGTTTGTAGCTTCACCTGACTTTTTTGACTAAATTAGTGACTGATGATTAAACCTAACTTTATTCATATGATTATGAAACAAAGGAACAGTCAAAGGAATGGTGCCACAGTTGAATCCCGCAACCAAAGGAGTTCCGCACGCAAAAATCAGCCAAAAAGTCAAGGCTTCCGTCTTCTGGGACTTGGGTTGTGTACTGTTGGTGGACTACCATCTTCAAGGCTCTGGACCAGCTAAGCGAGGCAATCAAGGGAAAATGCCGTAGAAAATTGACCAAAGGCACCATTTTCTCGCAAGAACATGCACTTGCGCACAGGTACTATGTCATGGCTACTAAATTGAACACCCTAGGTTTCCGTTTGGTTCATCACCTCCCTATTCAATGGATCTGGCCATGTCAGACTATTCTCTTCCAGATCTAAGTACGCGAGGTTTTGAAGACATTCCTGACATTAAACATGCTGTTGATAGTTATTTTGAGGCATAATCAAATACTTTTACCTGACCGGTCTAGAAAAATTGTCAATAGGCTGTATCAAGTGTATCAGTTGCAGGGGCGATATGTTGAATAAATGTTATTTCATGACTCTAGCTATCGTCTTTTTGGTCAAAGCCAGGAACTTATCAGCACCCTCTAGTACACATTAATGACTCCAATGGCTTCAGTCGTGCTTTCTTGGACCAACGGACAAGAGGTTGCGAACCAACGGGGCGATTTGAGACATTGTCATGTGGATAAAATACTGTCTGGTCCTTTGATCACATTAGTAACCGTTGGTAAAAACATACACATATCTACTATGTTGACACATGGAATTACACCTGCAGCTACCTTTTCAATCACGGCGATTTCCTTGCAAGGAGGCTGCTCGATTTTGAATAGATTGAGTCCATGGCGAAGTTCCAACTCACGAGTTTTCAGGTTGTTTAAGCGATCTCGGAAATCAGCTACAATATCCAAACCGGTCTGAGGCGATAGTTGAGCTGAATATGGTCCATTGGTTTGCAATTCTGCAAGCAGTTCGTTAACAGCTCTCTTGAAGTCTTCCGAATCTGACAGTAGGCCAGTTTTGAACTTTTCTTTTGACTTTTTGATCATCTAAGTAAAAACAAGCAAGCATTAGTTGGTCATACTCTTAAAACGTTTATGGCTATCCCAAGTAATGGCTGAAGGGAAGCGAAATCATCTGTGGTCCGGCTTTTCGCATAATCTCAATTGAGAAAAGTCTATCCACAAAACACTCAGGCAAGAAAATTACTGGAAAGTTGGTCGTAAGAAGAATATTCTACGAATCCCAAATAACCTTGCTTAGCTGAACTTAGGATACGAACAACTCATACTGCGATTCCACGGTAAGATTTATGAATGATATTGAGTGGAATTTTGACGAAATCATTAATAACACAACACTTCCAAGCGCAGGTAAATAAATGATGTAAATAAATGATGTAAATGATGTAAATAAATGATGTACGCTAAAAACGGACGGAAGCAACAACAAATCGTTGTCACCACTGCTGTCATTGTCAAAAGCTACAACCGTCTATCAGTACATGTCACACATGTCCGTCGAATAGACAACCGCAAAACATCCAGTGAGACAATGACTACAATGAATGTGTACAGTGGTTACATGGTGCACTCAGTTTAGAATTGTAAAGCCCTATATCGCTCATGAGAAAGAGAATTTTAACTGTAATTTTAATGTAACCGACCCAGTAACTAACAAACTATATAGCACAGTCCCATCCGGAAAAGCACCCGACGCGTGTTTCGCCCTATGGGAGCTCGTCAATGGTGTGCATCCTTTGGTCCCCTACTGGGGATCGAACTCACGACCGCTAGAGCCTGACGCCAACTAGCCAGTAGCTTAAGCCACTGAGCCATGGGAAACGGTGGTTGAGCTACATAATTTGCAAGCTATTTGGGATATAACACGACCTGTCTTCCAACGCCATGCAGGTTTCTACCAGTTCAGATGACAGTGGCTAGCCTCCGAAGTCAGAACCTCCCCTCACTAGATAATATATCCATGGCATTTGAACCTAGGAGGACTAGCGTTTATATTACTCAGGAGTTGGTTCGTTCAACGCAGCTTGCGATTCGTGGTCGGTTAATTATCTGCCCCGAAGGTCAGGACAAGATGAGGTCAAGAGGTCGAAACCAGCTAATGCCCAAAGGTCAGAAGGAAACAGACCAGAAAGGCATCGACCAACAGATCAGTGTCTATCTGGGATCAATACACATGATCAATCGAGCTGTAATTAGAACGGCCTGTTTCATGCAATTCAGCTCACACCTGGCTCACATCTTTGTTCTCCACTATAGACTCCAGCTTGACGCGTACTAGCCGTGTTTGTTCTTCCTAACTAGCGATTGATCTACCATAGCAGTCCGACATAACATCTTGTTTGGATAGAACCCTTCTGAACCTGTAAAAACGCTGGCACTTGTCACATGGCTTCAGCAATTTGGCCCACTAGTCAGCTTCGTTCTACGGGTGTGGCATACGGTTTGAATCCCCAAAGAAAATGGATGGCACTGGTGAGGTTTTGAACTGAAGGTCGAACGTGCAGGTTGATACAACATATTGCTGAATGGCACTGTGCAGTGTACATTTCGCCGCTCCGTGTTCGCTATTTCTGGATACCGTTGCCGGTGCGTGGCCGAAAGGATCACAAGCCTGCCATGTAATCCGGAGGTCGCGGGTCTGAGCCTGCATAAGGGACCGGGCGACCCTCACAGTATTCTTCGCCCAGACGCGACTATTACTGCTTACGCGGTAGCGAAGCGCCGGTAGTGCGTGCTGTCGATGCTTTTTTGCCAGCCAGCGGCTGGCAACGGGATACCTAGCGCTGAACTCGTCGCTGTACAATTTTGCTAGTAGGATCAACAAGAGTGTGCTCCGAATACGGTGACAACACGTCGTCGTAAAACGTTCAGTTGACCCACCGTTAATATCTTTTATCACAGGGAAGTACGGGTTTTATTCGCCTTGATTTGGAACAAAAGCAAGATCCTCATTTGATGCTACCGGGACTTTGTGCATGGTAGGCTCCAATGACTCTGGAAGTAGGCATGCTATCTTAAGCTGCACCTTTTACCCCAACCGACGGAGCACCGCAAAATGTGAGAATGCCGGATTTTCTTGGTTCATTGTCTCCAGGGTCCATGTACCATCAATGGCTAAGTATCTTTTAATCTAATCACAGCCGATTACGGTCCTTGCCGCTATCAGATAACGGATCATGTGCTACTGGAAGGGAGTTCGGCTGAAACATCATCATGGTGAGAGTACTGAAGAGTGCAGCGTCGTGGGTATTCTCACGTATCATTGCGCCAAGTTACGGGTCAGCATAAACGTGCGGTTTAATACCAATGACAGTAACACATGAAGCGCGCAGTCAGTATCAGTAGGAAAAGCAGAAGCGCTACTTGACTTGAGTGTCAGGTATTGACAATTGGACATTAAATAATGCCGTAAGAAGACGAACACTGGCAGATGGCAACATTTCGTATTGTCTCTTCAGTGCCAACACAATAACATGAAAACATATAAGACGACAGGTAGGGTGAGACCGGAACAAGTTAGAACAGGGTAGAGGGGCAGGCGTGACACCCCTACGCCCAGGGCAGCCGTAGGCTTACGAACAGCTGTTTCTGCACACAGAGTGCGGGTTTGATACGGCTGATCGCGACTGCCTCTACAAAACGTAGGAAACGGGTGTTAGTATGTCTTAACACGATTGTAAACATTGTGGCCGGATCAAACTGGTGACAGGTGGCCAGTAAATGCCTACCTATGGATGTTCCGGTCTCACCCTACCTGTCGTCTTATATATTTTCATGTTATTGTGTTGGCACTGAAGAAACAATACGAAATGTTGACATCTGCCAGTGTTCGTCTTCTTACGGCATTATTCAAATTACTAAAGGGATCTAATTGTTTCAAATTGAACATTAAAGTGAAAACGTGATGGTGTTACCAAGACCAGGTGCTAACAATTTGATTCTACATAAATTCTATCAGTAGATCACACAAGTCTATCGATCTTAGAAGTTGTGAATCAGATACTGTACCATTCTCCATCGCATTCATCTCATTTCCAAAGCCGTCTTCACTATATGCATCTATCGGGTTAGGCAATGCAGCAGATCTTTTGGAATGCACTCATTTCCACGTCACACACTAATGTATGGTGCATTAGAAAGCCGTTAAGCTGGATTCACAATCGACAAGTTCGCGTTCAGAATATTTATTCGTTGTTATCATTCAGTGAACGACTTCAAGAGGACACAACAGGGTTCCTCACTTTCTTTCGCATGCAGTATACATCTCGAAATTGAAAACTACAGCTCAAAAGCGCCGCAGTCCATCTCACTGAGTGGATTTGTGAAGCATAGTACAACGCAGCTCGCCAACTCACGGAAACGACTGTGAAATGCGTAAGAGAATTGCAGGGTGTGGATACCAGTGGCCGCGGTAAAATTCCTCAGCTGGCGCCACCACAGAGCGCCGTGTTAAACAATTGCGTGGACAAGCTATATGTTATGCATAGGCTTTCCGCCAGATGTGAATGGGTGATGCAAAGAAGGGGGGGTTCTGAAACGGAGTTATGAAACCATTGTCTGTTTGTGGCGAGACAAACGGCAACGAATTCAGCTGGTATCTGCATGTGCAACCCCCTGATCTGGTGTCGATTCCTCGGATCTGGAAAGTGAGAGGGTACGGGTTGCATAAGAACTCACCTTCATGCCACATAGAGTGTAGCGGACTAATACCTTGTGTGTGAAACGTATCATCGGTTGTCAGTCGGACACTACTTTTGCGTCCACTCAGTGACCTTTCGTTGTGACCACGAGAACCGCTAGTGCATCAGTTATATCCTCACAAAGCCAGGACGTTACATTAGCGGTTTTACTGCTTCTCGTGTGCTTGCATTGGTAACTGTTTAACCCTGAGTACGCCCACACCTTAGTCCAGTGGTTCACTACTTGTTTACCCCTTCCTTCTCTCCCCACCTCTAACGATACTTGATCTCATCACAACTTGTCGATTGTTACAGTTGCCTCATGCACCTGGTTTGCTACCTATGTAACATGGTTACCGTGGCGGAGCTGGACGCTACCGGGCGCGTTCCAATATTACGGATTAAGGAATGCTTTCCTTGTGAAGGCAACAGCGAAGAACTCATGCTTGCTTTGCAGGTGACGAATAAACAGCCGTGATCAACCAGCGGCGACGTCTCAGAGCGTGGGTAGTTCTAGGCTGGTCCCCAGGTTCTCCAGCAAATACCGCAAGAACCTGTATGTCGCTGTACCAAAGCCAATGTTAACGGCTATAGCGTCACTGCTCGCTTACTTCTGTAACCACTGGTGAGTACTTAACGGAGGGCGGATGAACAACCTTGCCGGCCACCGGCTTCTGTGTGGACTGCTATCGAACACTAAGAATGCGAATCAACCACTTGCCTGTCTACGGTCCTTGTATTCACGGCTGGTTTGAAGTTCCAGCGACACCCGCTAATCGCTCCGCTACACTTGCCGGTCAGGTATTTAAGACCCAAGGCTCCAGTGTAAAACCGAAGAAATAAGACCGGGAGGCGTGTGGATGGGAACCACGTTTCATCAACATAACAAGCCCACACTCTTACAACATGCACAGCAGCAGCATTCCTGTCCAGTTTATTTGGGAATCAAGCGTACAAGACGTACGCAAGACGGTGGCTGTGTCCTAGTCCGTTCTACCCTGGATGAAACCATTCATTGAGCCTCGAACGATCACGAGGACCGTCAACCCGTCTCCTCCCAGCAACGGCAAACTCTCCTCTGGGACAAGCCCTCGAAGGGGAGAGAATTAGACAGGTAGGTGTTTCGTCAACATCCACATCAAGGGCAGCCTCACGGGGGATATCAAACAACAAACATGTAATTTGAAGGAAAATAAACACGCAAAATCGACACGAAATATGAAGCTGACTAACAGGACTGAGCAAATAAAATAAAGTGGCATAATTTTTATTCAGATCAATAAAAAGTAGTTTAAGAGTAAGTCGGTGTAACCTAACTGTGGTGGAGAATCATGATGTGTGTAACATCAACCTCAGCAATATATATATATATATATATATATATATATATATATAATTCGCAAAGCTTGTGCCTACTGTCGAATAGTGCATTCCTCTTAGGTCAGACCTACCTGTTCCGCAGAGAGTAGTGCGCTTTGGAATTGCATCCAGTCATTTAGTAAATTGGCACGCTTGGTTGCCACCTCCTCGGTGTACGTCACTTCACATTTGTCTAGTATGGCAAATTGTTCTTCCAGTGGACCAAATTTAGCTTGAATCTCATGTTGTTCGGTCAAAATGCGTTCCAGTAACTGAATGGAATCACTGAGTTCAGCCAGGTTTTGCGGGGGCTTCGATATTCTGCATGGTGGAAGTTTAGGTTTGATATAGCTAGTTGTAAAGGTAATACACTCTAGCGAAAACGAGAGGAAATGCCTGTTCTTCTTATAGAAAACCAGCTGCATTGAACGTTCGAATATACGGGTCTATGGAGTGACTGGCTGTCTTACGATGTTTCGTTCAACGAAGACCTTTGCCCGCTCAGAAGAGATGAAACCAATTAGTGATCTGGTGATGCAACACAACAAGCGAAATTGTCAGGTTTACCGCAGGCATTTGTCATACCTAACCCCAAAACACGGAGAGAATTCATCTAGACGGCTTATGGATCAATATCAAATTACTGTTGCTGAATCGGAGATTACTGAAACAATACAGGGACCATCAGAGAAGTAAACACTAGTTGTGGTCGGCGTATCAAGCCAACTAGGGAAAACATCTGGCACTTCCATTATATATGTCAGCCGGTATGTCACTATACCATTCCGGCGAAGTTCGGATGTTTTACGAATGCGTGGAAATCTATTGAGGTAAACTTACTTTTCAGATACTGTCTCGATGTAGGTGTAGATGCCATGCAACGAATCCGTGGTCATATCCAACAGAAGGTTAGTCAGGCGTTGTTGCCAATCTCGGCAATGGGCAGCGATTGCATTCTTCAATAAACTGAAGTCTAGCTGCAGAAAACGTGTGGTAACCATGGTTTCAGCGTCCTGGACTTTGTTTGTCACTTCGGTGTATCTGAAGTGCAGAAAACAAGTGTACTGACGTATGTATAACAAATAACTTGACAAACAAGCTCGTTTACAGTGGTTCGTCATCAGGCCATCACTTCACAAAGTAGCGACAGGCACGTGACACCAGATATTAGTGCAAGTTAATCACTCTTTACGGTCCAACTAAGCAAGCTGGATGATCCTTCCATACAGTCAAATACAAGTAAGTGGTGTGGCTCCCAACGTGCACCGGTGTGACAAGGAGCAGGATATTAGTGTCACACTTGGAATTCGTAGTGAAGTTTTGATTACCGATAAATAAGAACGGTCATGTGAGGGCCGGGAAATTCCAGGAGCGTCTAAATCTAAACAGGAGCGGGAGCTCGAACCTGGGGCCCAGAGCTTGTTGGGCGGATGTCTGAAGCACTAAACCGCAACCACCGTAGCACCTGTTGTTCTTTCTGGCTAACAATGCCATATCGGCACCGGATAAGTGCCAGGTATTGCGTGTGTCTCCTGGTCCCATTCGGAATACGTGCCGCAACCGATGATGCTGAATTACTATCTCAAAGGACGGTTCGGACTTTCCTGATACCGTAACATGGGCTCAGTGGCCCCCAGTCTCGTTGAGTGTAGAAGTGTGCTGTGCACTACCCTACAACCGGAGAGCATTACGCCGCTTAGTTTGCTTCAGTCAAAAAAGGCGTCGTCGAAGTGGACACATTGGCTATACAGAGGAGAACCGGTGTAAGGTTGGGTGTGCCACCTTATGGTGCTCGCCTCCTGTTGAAAATAAACCTGTGTAAAGGGTTCCATGGATTAGGTAGCTGAGATTACACAAACCATATCGGGCTGTAGCGATGGCACAATTCTATCTTTCCAACTGTACCATCATAGTCTGTTTTCCAGTATTTATTGTACAGTTTGTTTTAACTGACCCAAAACCGGAAACATTTTTTCGAATTTCACTTCGTCTGCTTGTTTCGGCTACGCGTGTTGTGCTATCCGGACTACAATGTGTCACGGCTTAGTTGGTCCATATAATAATTGTAAGCTTCACCAATGAAGATCATTACGCCCACCTGAAAAAGTATTCTCCAGCATAGGTTCGTGTACGTCCAGAAAGTGAGAGTTCACGATACTCAGTATCACATACGTTGGCTCCGTTATCGACAGTTCCGGTCGTCGACCAGACCGAACCAAAATAAAGCCCATCAAGTTAATGCCTCACTCCAGGAAGAAAGCTAATTTGCAGTCTTTCTTGGGTCTAATTATCACGTTTATCCCTCAGATGCACGAAGTCAGGGCCCCGTTAAATGCATTTTTGGCGCTATGTCAGAAAGGTTTGGATGACATTAACCAAATATTGTCCTCCGATCTCCTTTTAACTCATTAGGACCCAATAGTACCAATAATTTTCGCTGTTGATGCATCACAAAACGGTTTCGGTTGTGCCTCGTTGCTTCAGTTCCCAAATGGACATAGAAAGGCTGTGATGCATGTTTCCTGCGCGTTGACAACATCAGAAAAGTACTAGGGTCAAATAGAGGAAGAAGGACAATCTCTCTCTTTTGAGGTTAAGAAAGTTCATGATATGGTAGTATATGGACGCAAATTTACTTTGCACACAGACTATAAACCTTTGCTATCTATTTTTGGCACCAAACGAGTAATCCCCATTTACAAGGGGAACAGATCACAGCGTTCCTCAATCAGTCTATTAGCATCCGATTTCGATTTGCGTTTAAAAAGTACGTCTTCGCTCGGTAATATTGACGCATTATCCATACTGATTGCCGACTGCACGTCCAAGACACCGGATGAAGACATTGTTGTATGAATCATTACCTTAGATCCAGAGATTAGACAAGTAGTTTAAATATCAGTATGTCAATTTCCAGTATTAGCCGACGGTTAGAATAGAAACAGCAAGAGATCCCCTGTCACAACACTGGTTGGCCCGCACTCTCCTTGGACAGCTATGGTGATCAGTTTCGTAAAAGAACTTGCCTTAACCACCATTGATGGTTGTTTGATGTTAGCTGACCGAGTTGTGATTCCTAAGAGTATACAGAATAAGTTTCCCAGTTGGTTCCACGAAGATTACCCGGGAATCACTCATATGAAATACATAGCCCGCAGTTATGCCTACTGGCCATTCATGGACCAGGATATTGAAAATATTGTTCGTTCCTGTAACAGTCGTGCTATGGCAGCAAAACTACCTGTCGAATGTGAGCTTCATTCTAGGCAAACTTCAAGTGGCGTATGGTCGCGCATTCATACTGATTTTGCCGGACCCTTGGAAGGTTTCCACTAGCTGGTAATTGTGGATGTTTACTTGAAGTGGCCCGAAAATTTTCAAATAAGGTGCGCAACCAGTTCCACTGATTTGTTACACCTGCGTTATCTCATAATTCGCTGTTCTCGAAACGACTGATTCGGACAGTGGTTCCCAATTCACTTCCCAAGAATTGTTCGACTTTTGTAACTCATATGACATCGAACACACACGCACTTCAGCACACCATGCTCAGTCAAACGGGGAGCCTGGACGTTTTGTCGGTGCGCCTAAGTGAGCATTGATTAAAATGGAGGGAGATGGGAATATCCAGGATATCATTGACAACATTTTGCAAATTTACTCTACGACGCAGCAGCAATACGCCATAACATATTTTCATCCGACGCCTTTCTTGATAGGCGTGTCAGATCGGTCCTTGGTGCATTGAAACCATCGCTACATGAGTTGGATTTACGCGCTATCAAAGAGCACGCCGCCTCCATTTTGTGCCTGGTGATGGTGTGCAAATAAAGCATTTTCGTGACGGAAGATCATTCTACATTCCTGGCCGTGTCGTTGAACGGCTTTCAAGTGTTTTGTACAGAATACACGTAGATTCCATCATATGGACCAGACATGTAAACCATACTGGACCCCGTTTTAAAGTGCAAGGGACGCCCCAAAAACAGGAAGCTTTACTTCCGTTAAACATTTCGCTGCACCCGTATCAAATGGTCCCGTCGGAAGGGCCCGTCGGGCAAACAAAATACCTAACAACAACAATACGAATTAGCGACCCAGCGCCAAGAGGTAGAACATACGAATCAAACGTACGTGCCTTTCAGTTGGGTTTAAAAAGGGGTGTTAAACAGTCGTTCACAGCTATACCATTTTACGCGCATGTTAGTGCATTGTACCAGGCTTTTAGCGTGGCACATTTTCGAAATCGCGTGCAGTACTTTCTACTTAGCGAGGCTGAGAACGCTGTTTTGGCGTTCTTGACACTCTCATTGGTCATGGGACGTAAACCAATGGGACACCGGTTAGAAGCCGGTTAGAAGCGACAGACAGTCCAATGAAAGTGGTCGAGCACCACCTGTTCTATTTTGATGCCTAGCTGAAAGAAACGATGATTGGTCACTAAACTGAAACCGTCCAATGGGCAACTTGTGTTGCCTGTCTAAGGAGGAAATCCTGGCTACCACATGATCCGATGGTTATGCCGTAACCAATGCGGACAGATATACTAACCAGCACATGAAGCGGTCTATAGTGATTGCTGGCGGCTACCTAATGGTGGCTTACTCAGCGGCCTAACCATGGTGGCGTAGACAGGCAACCATCTAACTGATATTCCACAGTACAGTAATGGCTGCCAGGCGGTTAGACAATTGTGTGCGAATGTCATTGCAACGATCATGGGGGACGTAGTTCCCATAGAAGTTAGTAGACCAACCTGAAGCTGAACAACGAAAATTCTAAGTTTGCTTACTTCTAGCAAGATTGTTGACTCAACAAAAAATAATATGGTTCCAAGTGTGGCCTTGACACGAAGTTAGTGAGTGTTCGTTTGTCTCCATACCCATAGGTGACTATGTTAATCAGTTATCGCTTCAGTGTCTCCATGTATCGCAGGCTGTTGGAAGAGAAGCTTTGAAGGCTTACACGAGCGAGATGACAACTAATTGAGTAGTGATAGGAAGCGGATTGGTGGATTGTGTTGAGGCTGAAACCCTGTTGGAAGAGAAGCTTTGTAGGCTTACCGGTTGACAGCACGGTTGCCTTCCTTTCTCGCTTGCCTATCTGGCCACACGTGATGTGGTATGCATAGTGTAATCATGCCACTGCGAGCAATCTAGGGAATCGATAGGTGTGCGACTTCGCTTAGGATGTGTGTGTGATTGTTAAGGCCCTGTGAGGTAATCGGAAACAATGCAATAATTCGTTTGAAGGAGGTAAAGCTAGAACATGGCAAATAGAAATTTTATAAAGTTTTACAGCTACAAATCTCTCATGCTGTATTTTTTCAGTTGGCCGTACACTCATGTGAATAGCGTAGATAGGTATTGCTGATGTAGTCGGCACATTATATACTAAGTTCAAGTTCACTGTGTAGGCTAAACCATCAGTGTGTATGTAACCATTGTTCCAAACAGGAGGGTTCCCAGTGCAGCGGTGACACGACATTAGTGAGTGTTCGTTCGTCGCCACACCTGTGGGCCAGTTCGGTAATCAGTTAGTGATACAGGACCCATGGACCTACCGTTACGTTAAGGCTGTAAGATGCATGTCAATCCTGCTTTCCAACATTATATTTACACTTCACTTCCAAGTGATTGATAAGCTTAAAATATCAAGTGACTCTGCGGTCCTGATATGAGCTGCCTACGAGCATTGCATACGCATGGTAAACATAGAGTTTGGAGTAAATTTCCTCCTTCAACAATGTCTCCGGAATTACCTACTTTCCCATGACAACATGTTTCCGAGTAGTTTCCAAGTCGATAACAACCTAGGTCATGGCGTGCTCAAAGGACTGCTTCTAACACTAGCTGAAACAGTGGTCCGTAGCAGGATTAGTGGGCGCGGTTGCCTTTGTAAATGATTGCAAACACATTGTACGAACGCCCTTGAGTGAGACAACAGTGTTGGTCTGCTCCAAGTACTCACCTGAAGTACCAGAGTAAAATGCCTGCATCGCCACTAATCATAAGTCTTGCGTTCTTTCTAGCAGGACAATG